GTCAAACAGCATTATTTCTACAGTGTAGATGCACCTTTTTTTTGTGTTTTGCAAGTAGAAAGATAAAATAGTCTCTCCTACCATGGATCTTACAAGAACATTAATTCTGGAAAGGTGGATTCCACACATACTATATTTCCCATACTTCCTTGGGGGAAGGTAGCCATGGCCCTGAAAGCCATACAGGTTTGCTTCAGAGATATCTGCACTCCACCTGTATATCAATTTCGTGCCACTTTAACTGCCACAGCTCCATCCTACAGCATCCTGGGAATTGCAGTGTAGTCCAGGTCCTTGGAATTCTTCTACAGGGAAGCTCTAGTGCCTGTCTACGGAGAATTCTAAGTATTTGATTCTCAACCTTCAGTCCTTTAGATGTTTGGGGCATCAGCTCCCAGAATCCCCCAGGGAGTATGCCTAATGGCAAGGGATTCTGGGAGAGATAGTCCAAAACACCTGACAGATCAAAGGAAATACACCTTTGGTGCCTCAAACTATAGATCCCAGGATTTCATAGGATGGAGCAGTACCAAAGCTATACATGGCATGTTGCAGACATTTTGCAGGCCCTGAGACAAGGAAGGCTGCCACTGAACTTGCTCAGCTCATTCACAGCTTCCCCCCAATTAATTAGATTAGCCGACGATTACCTGATGAAGCCAGACTAATCTCCTAACACTATTTAGCATGTCTTGCAGGGCACTAATGAACCAACAGCGGAAATGCCCAAGTCCTTCCATGCAATGCACGTCTTTGAAGCTTTTCGCTACATTCAAGAATGTAATGTTTTCTACCAGACTAGTACCATTGAAAATTCAGATTGCTGCTTGGAATAGGCGTCTTAGGCTTAGCTTAAGCCCTTGGCTGGGACAGGAGTCTGAAATCCTCAAATGAACTCTTTTTATTCATAGAGCCATAAGCAGCCACAGCAGTTTAAAACAAAAAAGGGGAAGAAAAGATGCTTTCAGACATGTGTCTTGACACACCATACACATGCCTTTCTGTCAATGGGTGCATCATATTAGCCCTTGAAAGGGCAGCTATGAAGGGATTAGATAAGGGGTGTGTTTGTGTGTGTGTGTTGTGTACCTTCGGATCATTGCTGACTTACAGCAACCCTATCACAGGGTTTTCGTGGCATGTTTCTTCAGAGAGGGTTTGCCATTGCCATCCTCTAAGGCTGAGAGACTGTGACTTGCTCAAGATCATCCAGTGGGTTTTTACAGCCAAGCGGGAAATCGAACCCTGCTCTCTAGAGTCAATTAGGTAAGATCCTCAAGTGTAAAGACATGTCATTAGATATCAAAGTCAGGAATATCCCCATATTTCTGATTTCTACGTATGGTTGTGAAAACTGGATAGTGACGAAAGCTGTCAGGAAGACAACCAACTCATATGAAAAGTGGTGCTGGAAGAGAGTTCTGCAGATATCATGCTAAAAAGACAAATTACTGGGAAAGGGAGCAGATCAAACCTGAAAGCCTTTTTTGAAGACATCCAGAGAAGGAGACCTCACCATTTCTCCAGGTAACTGGCTCCATTGCTGAACCGTTCTTAGTGTCAAGAGGTTCCTTCTAATGGCCAAATGAAATCAATTTAAATGCAGAAAGGATGGGAACTCTGTCAGATGGATCCATAAATGGTTGGAAAACCATGTTCCAAGAGTCGTCACCAATCGCTGTGCTTCCAACTGGAAGGAGATCTTGAGAGGAGTTTCAGCATTTTGTCCCAGGACCATTGTTGTTGAAAGTATTTAAGGCATAAGCAGCAAAGGAAGTGATTAAACAAAGAAAAATGCCTGGAAGAAAAAGGTAAGGACCCACACTTTTTACTAATCCAATCCCTGCCCCTCTCTAACTTTCACCATAATGCAACAGAGAACATGGAAACAGGAAATTTCCAAACAGAAAAATAGGACAGTCTTAACTTCATCTGCCTCATAGGTTATAGTTTTGGAAAACAAGGATGCATACTTGGCATAGGAACAGGAGGGCGGAAATCTCATTATGAAATCCATTTGCAATTTTTCAAGATTTATCTTGTTCCTGCAAGGTAAGGTGTTAAGGGGTGATGTAAAACACCTAAAAACACTCACACACCCTCCACGGCTGCTTGCCGCGGGGATTTTGTTGGGTGCCAGAGCTATTTGCAATCTTGTCTTTGCAACCTTCAAAACAAAAAAGGCCGAGATCACGATAATGTACTTCCAGGGACAATCACAGAAAGCCTCACCAAAAGAAGCCCGATGGGAATCTTGCAACCTCCCCCCCAAGATTATTGGGGTGTAGGTCACAGCATTCCCGTTTACTGATTGTGGTGCCTACGGGTGCTGGGAGTTGCAGTCCAACATCATCTACAGCAGTCCATCTCAGGATATCTGCTACTGGGGGAATGGAAATGTTTTCCACTTTGCCGGGACTAGTACCATATTTGT